CAAAATCTGAACACTCAAAGTATAACAACAAAAATAATTAAAAACAAGAAATAACAAAAACAATTAATAACAAGGAATACACAAACAACAATTAACAACGATGTAACAAAAACAATTAACGAAAATAAACTAATTAAAAAATTTATCATTGAAATTATTGCTCTGAAGTGTGCGGAAGCCGAATACGAATACGTTCGAAACCAATAGACGACGAGAATCGACTGATGAACCAATCACGTTGAACTTTAGCGTGGTCAATGTCGTATCGACCAATAAAAAGTGTGCTCACGACTTATGTCGGCAATTATACATATACACAGGAAAATCTACTCTGTGCATTCATCATGCATTTCTAATTTGAGCGTTCAGATAAACAAATTATTAGGAAAGACAATAAACTAATCAATATAGCTCATTCAAACTACAAGAAACTCTTTTTAATAACTTATAATAATTACTTATAGGTTGTGTTAAATATTAAGCTGAACTAATAAGAAATTACCTGTTTGAACTCTTGTAGCCATTGTTTAGAACTTTCACAAGTAAAATTTGACAGACTTGTTCACAAAAGTATCACGTACTCTATATTCACAAACAGTGTCTTATATCTGTTTCAACTTCAAGATTCTATTTATAGACTTGAATTAATAAAAACTTATAACTACAAGGCCAAGCACTTCATATCATTGAACATCTTAGATTATTGAATAAAAGTGAACTGCAGAAGTATAGATAGGAAAGAGTGGGATGCCTCCAATTATGAACTAATAATACCTATGGCTCAATAATAATAGCTTTAGTTAGAGAATAGTATGCCCTGATTAACAGTTATCTGTTATCAACTGCGCTAGCACTTCTTAGTAGTTTGCCTTTATTATCAATAGCTGCGTCGCAATGTTGTTGTTGCCACACCGCTGAAATTAAATTTTGAAATGTTTGGTAATTTATAATACTTTAAGGTTTCTTAATTTTCGCTTGAAATTAACTTTAACTGCAATATAGATAATAATTTTATTTATTACGTGGTAGAGCCATGCTGCAGCTACGTAGTTGAAGCACGAATGGGTCAGATCGACCGGGTAAGGACCACGCTGTCGTGTCTTACCAGCGTGAATTAGCAGCTTAATGCTGCTGTACTTCGTATGATAAGTGTAAAGAAGCGGAAACCCTTTTTACTGGAACGAGGCATTCCACCTTAGTCGTCAGGGGTGACAACGCATCTGAATTTTGATCTTTAATCGAGGATAGATGTAGATGTCTATGGCCACAGCATCCGCTTACCATCAGGTGGATTGTGTGCTTACTTTATTTAAAAAATGCATACTGAATAAAAACTAAATTTACGGATTCTATCGCGTTTATTTAACTGATTTTACTTATTTTTAATTCCCCATGTTTCGAGTGCATTTACAGCAACCATGGTCACGGGGGGACTGAGACTGACAGAGGACTGTTTAACGTCCCAATGTCATTGTTAGCCCGGCTACCTTCAGTTTTTGAATATTAATTTTTGGTCTGATTTAATATTCAAAAACGTGACCATGGGTGCCGTAAAGCACCCGAAACGTCGGGAATTAAAAATAAGTAAAATCAGTTAAATAAACGCGATAGAATCCGTAAATTTAGTTTTTATTAAATATGTAGTGTTCGCGTAAATTTAAGAAATAATTAAAATGCATACTGAATTATCAACATCGCATCGGTAGCTTGTGCATGCGATTATAATTAACAGCAGCAATAGGAAATTATTGTTCAGCGGAAAAGAAGGTATGTTGGTGTTTTAATTTTAGGTAACAAAATCAATATATTATACTTATAGCATTGGTATTTTGACATGCAAGGTGAGTAAAAATGCCGATTAAGATGAGAAGGGATGTATTCCTATCCTTAAGACACACAGCAAGTAGATATACAATTAAAGGTCCTTAAAAATCGCCAATGCCGTAGGTCGATTGATCGCAGTCGCTTCCAGAAGTAGAGTTCACTTTCGCATTCCCGAAATAATTAATTCTCCGATCGCCGGCGCCTTTTAAACTAATAAAAGGAAATTAGAACATTCTAGGTGAATCCGTGTCATTCCACTCTTCTAGTGGGAAGATCAAAAATATTTAAATATATGTACTATATTTAAATGTCTTTTTTGTTTTTTTCTATAGGAAAGTGGGCAAACGAGCATACGGCTCACCTGATGGTAAGTGATTACCGCCGCCCATGGACAGCTGCTACACCAGGGGAATTGCAGAAGCGTTGCCGGCCTTTTAAAAAGAAGTAGGCTCTTTTCTTGAAGCTCCCTAAGTCGTATCTGTCCGTAAAAATCTCTGGTGGTAGTCTATTTCACAAGGAGGTTGTGCTAGGAAGAAAACTTCTTTCAAATCGCACGGTGGTGGACAGCCAGTCATCCAGATGGTATGGATGGTATCGGGCGTTTTGTCGCGATGTGCGATGGTGATATTATGCGGCTGGCATTAGTTCGAACAATTCCTTAGATCACTCTCCGTAATAGATGCGATAAAATACGCAGAGGTGCAACATCTCTGCACGCCGCTCTGCGCTGGATGCGGTCAAGTGGAAGGAGCTGGCACTAAGGAGCCCCAGCCCAAAGATGGGAACAGTATTCCATGTGTGGCCAACCTGCGTTTTATAAAGTTGCAGGCGGTGTGCCGGCATGAAATAAAGTCCCGCTCTGCTGAGCACGCCAAGCTTTTTAGAGGCCAATTTGCCTTTTCTTCCAAATGACCACGAAACTGCACGTCACTCGATATGTCGACACCGGGGATTCCAATACTAGCTGAGGCAAGTAGGGGAGTGCCTTGAAACTGAGGAGATACGACAAAGGGGTTCTTTTTTGCGGTTAACGCGCAAACTTGTCTTCTGAGGGTTAAACTGGACTAGATTTAGTCGCCCCCAATCCGAGACTTTGTTCAGCAAAGACTCTACTTCAGACACAAGTTTGTCCCGGTACTCTGAGACGTTTTCCCGAGAAATATTAGCACGGCCGGTGTACAGAGCATCACCAGTACTGTCATCTGCATAGCAATAAATGTTGACAGTTTGCAACATATCATTGATATGCAGAAGAAACAGCGTTGATGATAGTACGCAGCCTTGTGGAACACCAGCATTAATAGGCTTGCAAACGGAGCTTGCACCGTCTACTACGACCTTGATGCTTCGATCTGCAAGAAAGCTGGCGATCCAATTGCACAATTTCCCGGGAAGCCCATAGGAAGGGAGCTTCGAAAGAAGCACTTTGTGCCAAACCCGTTCGAAGGCCTTTGCAATGTCCAAACTAACGGCCAATGCCTCCCCCAGGACATCATCAGCTGATCAACCACAACAAAAACCGTATTGGCGATCACTAATCCGCTGGTGATCCTCTAGGTACCTTATGAGCTGGCAGTTTACAATGGACTCCATTGTTATAGAGAACAAGGAGGTGATGGCGATAGGCCTGTAATTGGACGGGTGTGAGCGGTCGCCTTTTTTTGGGACTGCGCCTAGGGAGTAGGAGTACCGGAAAAGATGCGTTATAACCGGTGCCAACTCTGGAGCACACGTCCTCCCAATTGGGGGGATACCGTCAGGCCCACTCGACTTGTATATGTCCTATGACATTGTGTTGTGTGTGTCATATGACGTGGTCGAACCGTCGGTCTGTTTTGGCATTACCGCTATGGGACCTATAGAGGTGCGAATGGTCGTCGCTGTCTACGCGTAGCCAAAGGATGGACAGGTCCAAACCTTCAAGACTGCCGAGGCGTCAAGAACAGATGCCCTCTCTGACTTATAAGCAAACTCCAGCACGCGGCACAAAGGAGTGTTCCAGTTTGTATCCCGGGTAGGAGAGATACGAAGCATCAGCCGAAGAGGACACCTGTGTCTCGGTCAGAAAGAGCAGAGCCGACCTCGCCGTCTCGAGTTGGTAGTGGACGGCGTTTAGGTTAGAATGAAGTTCCCTCATATTGCAGAAACTCACGGATAGCGTGGCAGGGGCCACCTTGGTCTTGGTGCTCAGCTTGCCCCGAGCAGTTGTTGTATTAATCGGAATTTTGCCCCCCCCCCTCCAGAATACGCGGGGCAACCTGAGCACCCACGCTCAAGAGTGGAGTAATTTGGTCGTGGATGCTCAGCGAGGGATTCTCCAGGGGTGCTTGTACCCTCCTGGGGTAGTTTGATATTTAATTCCGCTACCATGTTAATGGGGGGGGGGATTTGGGCCTTCGGCCACCTGTACTCACCAGACGAAACGCGGAAGCAGAGCTTCCACTTCACGCCGGTATTCTGTGAGGTCGTGGTACCACCCCGGTTTGAGCCGGCCCATACGTGCAACAGCAAAGCTGCCGTGTGGCTCTACCACTGTTAAACGTTCACGGAAACGGCAGAATTTACAACGATCGGAATATTTGTTGAGAAAATGTTCCTATCTGCTGTTGAAAATGTTGACGGAAATGTTAATAGAAAAGATATTTAAAAAGAAATTACTTTGGATAAGAAAATGGATAGACGACAGAAAATAAACTGGAGGTTCTGCTTTATTGTTGACGTGACGTCACCCTACAATGCAGCGCTAGCGACTGACCATGTGCTGACTTGGTCGTTTAAACAAGGTTAATAGCGCTGGCGCGCGTGGCGGGGAGAGTGCACTGACTTCAAAATAGTCAAGCAGGAATATTGAAATCAGCACTGGCGCGGCAGCGCTGTACTGACTCCAAATCAATTTACACTACTTATGTCAGTTTTGGGTCAGCACTGACTTGTCTGGAATTTGGAGCCAGTTACTTACCCTGTGTAAATCAGCCATTACGCGACTTGTGAAGGCACTACATGGTTTTCGGAGGACTGATATAACATAATTATGTTGCCTTGGTAACATTGTAAACATTGATATTAATAAACAGCGACATTACGATACAAAAAAATCGTATTGTAAATTAAAACAGTGATTATAATTATCTTTGGTAATTATATTATTTTCGTTGATATTGGCAATATTTATTGAAATGCCGATTATAATTAAAGATTACACATGGACTCAAACAGCTCAATCCTTAAGTATAAAGATTCCTTTAAATTCAGGAAACAAAAATAATATTGACTTATTTACAACTGATTCGTATATAAAAATAAATTACGCTCCGTTCCTGTTCGAAATGTTCTTGCTGCATGATGTGGACAACGATAAAAGCAAATGCACGATACTTGATGACTTGATTGTACTCGATATGATTAAAAGACAAGAACATGACTGGGAATGCCTGGAAAAATGTTTAAGCAAAGAAGAAAAAAAAGAATTAAGACAGAAAATATACAAAAAATCCCAAGAAGAAGCGAAGGAGCGAGCTGAACAAAGATCTATAAAAAAGAGTCAATTAGACAGGTTTACCGTACAACGGGCAATGGATATAGATTCTAAACAACATTCATTGATGGATTCCCGAAGAGATGCTGAACGTAACAAAGCAATGAATGAGTTGGAACAGTGGCGCGAAACACTGCCTAATGAGAGAAATAATGACTCTTACAATAATAGTCACAGTATTGAAAAACATTACGGTAATACAAACATTAATAAAATAAAATTCAATGAGTACAATGCATCTAAAATTATTGAATTAACATCCTCTGACGAGGAAAATGACGAAGGACTTTCAAAAAAAAATTCGCAACAAATAAAAAATCTGCCGATAGCCTCTAAAATTGTCAAACAACCTATAAAATCTGAATATGTTGAAAAGAAAAAACTAGAAGCAGCTACGCGAGTCTTGCCTAAGCCAAGAGAAACTAGACAACTTGAGATCAAACATACTCCGAGATCATTTCCAACGCCTAGCAGAGAATCAACAGTGAAAGAGGAGGAAGCCTGGTTAAAAAATGTCACACAAGCTAGAAGAGCCACTGGTTTTTATTTTATTTATCATCTAATTAAGTTATTTTATGCTTTAGTTTGTTATGACCTTTTAAAATTAATTTTGTCAATTATATTTTGTCATTTTCAGGTTTCGTATCTGAGGATCTCCGTCCCGAGGAACAAGATCCTCAGTGGTGTAAAGAGAAAGGCGATGAATTCTTTCGCAGTGGAAATTTTTTGGGAGCCATAAGCGCCTACACGCATGGTATGGCACTGTCCGATAAGTTGCCAAGTCTATATTCCAATAGGGCAGCAACGCATTTTCCTCTTGGAAATTTTAATAAATGTGTGAGTTGCAAATTAAAATTAATTTATTTGTGAATACAATAAATTAGGTGTAAAGTTTGTATATCTTAATGTTATATTAGACCTCGCGTGATTTAATGATCAGTGAACTTGCCCCTATTACGAATTGTGGCATCCTAGGTATAGATTGCCAGCAAAACTAAGTGAGAATCTGAAAAATTAAAAATTATATCTTTACCGGCTTGAGATTACCGCCATTCTCTGGTTATTTGATTCTTCTTTCTCCGATTTTCTTGCAATTATTAACAATGGGTAACAGACGAGTAAGTGATATTTAACATTCGTTTGTTAATTAGAAGAAGTAATTGAATTAATTGAAATCTAATAGGAGTACAAAATTTAATCTTGTTTTATAAAAATGAACGTGCTAACAATCAAAATAATTGTAGGGACTACTGTACTCCACTACTATAGACTCCAAATAAAGGATTCGCAGGATTATGAAATAAGATTGAATTCTCACAGCCTGTGACCGATATCGTCCCGTATGCAATATTCACTATCCCATATCGTCCCGTATGCAATATTCACGATCACATATCGTCCCGCATGCAATATTCACTATCCCGTATCGTCCCGAGGGTGTGTAAGAGGTGACAAGGGAAACTGAAACAGGAGATGGACAGCGTTTTAATGATATCGACTCAATAATAATAACTGCACTTGCTTACGCGCCTACGTAGCGTGGCAACTTTGGCAAATATCCCCTCTATGAAGCAATCTATACCTACGGGAGGCCTATGTTCAGCTGTGAACTTTTGATAGGCAGTAACGGCTCACAGCATTATATTAATATTAATTATACTGGCTTCTTTGCCATTCAAACACAGTACATTACGTTCCTACCCTAACAGAATCCCAGCCTATTAAATATTACTGACGATAAGTAAACAGTGAAAAATATATGTGGAAAACCTTCAAATCTTATATTTTGCGTCATAAGAGATACATTTCTATTCAGACTACTGCTAGTTCACTTTACCTATTCAGTCTCAAAAAAAAATATTTTTAATTTAACGTAAGAATTTCCTTTGCTTAACATACTAATACTCCTGAGAACTTCAATTTAAATATCAATTGTATATTTTATTGAAATGTACATAAAACATCTTTTTGCCGTGTAGTGGCAGCGTATGATAATCCACATGTCGTCCCGTGGGTGTCGTACACGGCGACAGATGGAAATGAAAAGGGAGATGGGATAAAACCCTGCGGTTGTAATCCCGCCTACCAAGCGTGGCAACTAGGGTAAATAACTTCGTTAATATATTTACCGTATTTGCCTTTTTTCTTTTGGTTGTAATTAATGAATGAACCATTTTTTTATCTTCACTTGACGTTACGTAACCCCCTCCCCCCACCCCGCCACACACTCGTCGAGTGGCATGTGAAGTGACGAGAAAAGGAGGCAGAGCCGTAGTGTGGCCACAATATTCGTCATGCCGCACGTTATGCTCCTCGTCATGCACATCGCTCCTTGTTTTGTTATTACGTGATTAAATTACATATAAATCAATTTATAATTTAATTATATACCGAGAAAAAGCTATTTCGACGACTACAACGTATATTTCTTTTTATAAGATTGATATAATTAGCTATAATAGATATGCATTGCTCGCACGCTGTAACAGTTTCAACATCCATTGTGTTGCAAACGCGAGCGATCTAGTCGAGTCTCGATTAATTGCTCGAGTAGAGCAGTGTGTGGACAGACAGTGCAACATCGCGGCAGCGTGAGGAATAGAGCGATGAACAGCGATACTGTGGCCGAGCCATAACAAACCAAATCTTCGTTATACATTTCTTTCGTCCTAATAAATTTTAACACATTTCTTTTTACCTTCATACGTATATAACTTAGCAATTACACGTACAGAACTAAATAAAGAATTCAATGTTATGAATAGTTTCTGATCGTCTAATGACTTCCTTATTCAGGTAAACGATTGCTCCACTGCTCTGGATTTAATGAAACCGCCTTGCGAAGGTAACCGCCGGAGTCGCGCTAAATGTATAGCACGGCGCGCTGCCGCCCTCGCTCGCCTGGGTTTCTTGAGCAAAGCCATCGACGAGATGAAAGCAGCGTCAAAGTTGTTACCGGATGATGAAAAAATCAAAAAAGACATTTATGACATGGAAAGAGCTTGGGAGCAAAATCCTGATTCAGATTGATTTTTTAATAAGCTTAAATGATTATTATGGAGTAAATGCATAGGTATGTTAAGAACAAAAATATTCATTATCTCAGTATGTAAAAATCTATTGGGGTCCGTTAGTTTCGCAAAAACTCGCCCGTTTTTAAGAAGGGCAAAAATTTGGAATAATTTTTTTCCAGTAATTTACTTAGGATCACTTCGGTACCAAACATGATAAAAAATCTTCATGGTCAGATCTGAAAACTAGACACTTGGAACTACAATTTTCTTTCTTTCGCGGTACGATCTTTTTTCTCGGAATTACAGCTTGCTAAAAACCCCAAAAAAAATTTTTTTTTATATCCCTTAATTTTTGTGACTAGTAAAGTAGCAATACCAAGAGGATTGCAGGTGTGATGCCAGCCTTTTAAAATAAAGCGAGCTCGTTTCTTGAAGATCCCAAAGTCGTATCGATTCGGAGCCCAATAAATGACACAGTGGTGGGCCACCAAACATCCAGATGGTGTGGATGAGTTGTGATGTTGTTGTGTTGGGGTGGGTTGATAAATTTGGCAACTGGAATTAGTCTAAACAATTCCTCTGAGCACTTCTCAATGTAAATACGCAAGCCTATTTATAAATCGCAGCGCCAGTGGATCCTCGCTGGATTCGGTCAAGTAATATTCCATGTAAGGCCGAATCTGCACCTTGTAAAGAGCCTGGAATGGAGCCTGCAGTGGACCGGCATCAAATATTGTCATACGCCTAGCTTTTTAGAGACCAATTTGACCTTCCCTTCAACTTCATTTGATATGACGCCGAGGATTCCGACACAGGCCAAGGCAACAAGGGAAGTGCCGTGAAATGGAAAAGATAAAGGGGTTCTTTTTATCGTTAAGCGCGTTAACCTGTGTCATCTGGGGGTTTTAATGAACTATACTTAGTCGCCCCTAATCGGAGACTTTCTTTAAAAAAGACTGGACTTTAGACAAGTCTGTTCTGGCACTCGACGTCTTGTTCCCAAAAATATTGGCACAGCCAGTGTATGAAACATCGCCAGTTATGCAAATGACAGCAATTACCATGGCAATTAATGTTACTACTTTCCATCATATCATTGATATGCAGAAGGAACAGAGTATGCGATAGCACGCGGTCTTGTGGAACACCAGCGTTCACAGCCTTGAAATCGGAGGATGCACTGACCTGACTGAACTACGACCTTAATACTCCAATCTGTGAAAAAGTTGGTGACCCAATTGCATAATTTATCGGAAAGATTTATTACATGGTAGAGCCACGCTGCAACTATATTATAGTTGTAGCATGAAAGGGTCGGCTCGACCGGGGCAGGACTACGCTCTCGCAGAATACCAGCGTAAAATGCGGATGTCTATGGGCCACAACATCCACTTAGCATCAGGTGGACTGTGTGCTCGTTTGTCACCCAATGCTATAAAAAAGCCCGTAAGAGGAAAGCTTCGAAAGAAGCGCTATATGCCGAACCCAATCGAATCTCGCTTGTTTGTCACCCTATCATATAAAAAAAAAATCTCGATGACCGAATCGAATCATCGCCGTTGAATATTCAAACTAAAGTCAAAGCTTTCTCATTGTACTGTACTGCCTCCATCCATCTATGAGTTAGGTAAACTGAAATATCACCAGCTGAGCGACCCTTACCTCATGAGCTGGCTGTTTACAAATGGATTCCATTATTTTCAGTTGGATGAATCTGATCGCAATCGAATCTCGAATCGAATCGCATCTCTTGCCAGATCGTCACTCCATCTTCTGGGGTTCGACGTAAACTTCATTTAACGGTACGGGACTGCCCTTCGAGAACCTTTTTTTCATAGTTTATTGATCGGTCGTAATTCGCTTCTAGAATGGCGACTACAACCAACTTCTTAAGTCTTAACTTCAGGCCAGTATCAAAAAAGAAAACAAATTATAATGTACACATTATATTAATACTAATTATACTATAATACACTACTTAAGAGTTGTTTTATTCATCTATGACCTTTTTGGGCAGTCCAAGATTTTTCAAAAGTGCGTGTGGTGAAGGATCTCTGCCACGGAACCTCCTGAACACTTCGCTCGGGTGGCAAGCACCGCCTATAGCTAAAAACGTGTCTCTATATCGTCTGCCAACCACCATTATGTCCTCATCACCTTGTCTTGCTTCCTCGAAAGCACTATAAATATCAGCTGCTATCATTTTCGACCACAAGTGGCAGTAATATGCCGCACCCCATTCTTCAGAAAAGATCTTTGTGAAGGACAACGGGTGCGAATCGTATTTATCGAATGGTAGCGCGTTGTATTTTGGCCAGAGCTCTCTCACAAGATCTCTCCAAAATGTCTTCTTCGAATGTAGTTCAAGATCCAAACGCGACAAGTAAAGTTCCTTGCACAAATTGTACCCAGACATGTGTTGTCTCACATTCTGCAGGTTTTGCACAATTTCATTCGGTAGAGGTTCTTCAGTACTGTAATGTCCGCTAATTGCTTGTATTGTGTGGGGATCGTAAAGCCAGTGGGTCATCACATGACCGCAGACTTCAGCCGCGTCCCACTCTACATTTGAGAGACCAGCCACTTCAGAGTAATTAGCTTTTGTTAATAAGTGTCGTAATGAATGTCCAAATCTTTGAAAAAGAACACCAACTTCTTTGAAAGACAATAATGACTGTTTTCCATCAAAAGGAGGTTGAAAATTAAAAATAAGTGCAGACAGAGGCGATGATGATGTGATTGAACATCTGTTACGAATAGATATGTGCCAACCCGAATCATCATAAACACGTATCTTCTCATCTTGACGAGCATATGGGTCAAAATAGAAACCAGCAATCGGGTTATTGCTGGAGTCATCAAATACGTCATAGAACTTGACATCCTTGTGCCATGTGTGTACATTAGGCCTCTCTACAATTTCAATTTTGAACAATGTACTGCACAAATTAAATAAGCTGTTGATAACTTTTGGCAGTGGGAAGTATTCACGAATCTTATCTTCATCAAAGTTGTACAGCGACCATTTTTGCTTCCTCTGCCAGTATGGTATATCCCAATGCTCCAATTTTTTATCAAAGCCTCTCTCATTTGCATAATTCTGTAACACATCTAACTCAACATCCTGCATGGGACGAGCACTTTCAAGCAAATTATCTAGAACATTATAAACATTTTCTATAGAGCCTGCCATTTTTGTCTCCATACTCATGTCAACATATGTGTCAAAACCCAAAACAGTAGCTTGTTCCTGACGTAAGCTACGGATTTTTTCTAAAACTGTACTTGTTTCAAAATCTTTATTACCATACCCTGAGCACCGCTGGACATATCCCTGCCAGGTGTTCCATCTTAAAACTCTATCTGGACAATACTGCATAAAGGGCTCATAGATATAAGGTTGCAGGGTTATTTTCCAGGGACCTCTACTTGCGTCATTGTTGACAGACATAGCTTTAGCGAGATTTTCTGGAAATTCTTTAATAACTTCTTCATCATTTATAATACTACGGAAAGCTTTGGTAGCAACATTGACTTTATCACGAAAAAGGTGCCGCTCTTTCTGCAATGAACTCAAAATGCTATTAAGCCTTTCACGTTTCACTCCTTTAACATCTAAACCATTTAACCTCCCTTCTAATATGTATTTATCTAACAATCTTTGTTCTTCATCTGTAAGTTTTTTCAAACGGTTTTTTTCATTGACTGCTGCATGGAAGATTGGTATACTATTAAATTTAGAGGATCTGGCTTTGTGAGCCCGTTCATGAATCTGTAAATAGGACTTTGTTGGCATGAGAGAACTATTCCCTAAATATAAAGTCTTTGCTATTCCCCAAGTCAATTCAAGTTGGCTGTCAAGTTTTTCAAGCGGCTGAAATATTTCCACAAATGCATTTCTACAATCTGTTGCAGATTTCTCAATCAGTTTAACTCCACTTTCATATTCCATGCTCTGCTTGCTAATAGAAGCAATACATTTTTCAATAGTAATATCACTGAACTCGGGCAAGCCATTTCCTGATAAAAGGGTATTTTTATCAGCATCTTCACCGATTTCGGGAATTCTGAAAGCAGAACATTAAGTTTTAGTTGTTTTAACCAAATTAATAAACATGGATGTGAAAGAGGTGATAGAGTTTGTTCCTGTTGATGAAGAAGTCCAAAGTCTTTGCTTACACCACTGGGTAACAGACATGAGAGTTTGGATATGATTATGATAATAGAGCTGATTTTAAATAATAATATCAATGATGAAAATAAATTCATAACATAATATCGTAGATAGGTCATTCCATGTCAAATCACATTGATTCAGACTTGATGTCCCAGATTTTCATGATTTTTTTATGCAGCACTATATCATAAACTTATGAAAAAATACCATTTCAGTATCAGTTATGTAGCACAATTATTTTTGAAGTTATTAATTTATAAAGATTTAAATTTTTATGAAAAAATTTCAAGTTTTGGCACCATTGGATACCTATAGACTGCCAACCAATGATTATATAAACCTGGGAGTGGTCTCATTTTAAAGCTGTAGAGTGGGACTTTAATATAATATGCCGCAAGATAGGGCTACAATTTAAAAAAATGAAAATTTTAAAATTCATTTATTTTTAAAAGTGGCAATTTTAAAAATTTCAAAAAATTATCAAATATAGTTTATAATGCCTTAATACATACAACAAAATTCTATCATAGGATCTCCCATGGATAGAATGGGTTTGCTGCATGTATTAAGACATTATAAACTATATTTGATAGTTTTTTGAAATTTTTAAAATTGCCACTTTAAAAATAAATTTTGAAATTTACTGAACTCTAATAGATCTCACTCTTAAGAGTGCACTTTAAGAAGACCTATAAAAGTTCAACAATGGACTCCTAACATCTAATGCCACAGAAGACCTGCAAAGCAAGTACAAAGTAAGTACAAAAGTGAGAGAAAATGGTAAAAAAATCTTAAATACTGCTATAAATTGGGTGATTACATTTAAAAATATTGTTAGA